TCTTGGCTGAAAGCAGGGAGTACCAGAGGAACATATATCTGTGTTTTATTGATTATGCAAAGACATTTGACTGTGTGGATTACAACAAACTGTGGCTGACTCTGAGAAGAATGGGAATCCCAGAACACTTGATCATGCTAGTGCGAACCCTGTACTTGGACCAAGAGGCAGTCATCAGAACAGAGCAAGGAAACACTGCATGGTTCAAAATTGGGAAGGGTTTATGCCAGGGATGTGTCCTATCTCCAAACCTTTTCAATCTATATGCAGAACAGATTATCCCTGAGGCTGAGCTCTATGAGGAGAAATGTGGCATTATGATTGGAGGAAGATTCATTAACAGTTTACGTTACGCAGATGACACAACCCTGTTTGCTGAAACTGAGGACCTGAAGCACTTGCTGCAGAGTGTCAAGGACTGCAGCCTTCAATATGGATTGAAGCTCAGTATCAAGAAAACAAAGATTCTCACCACTGGTCCGATTGGTAGCATCATGGTACATGGTGAAAAGATTGCGATTGTTAACAGCTTTAGTGTACTTGCCTCCACAATCAACACTCTTGGCACCAATAGCCAGGAAATCAAAAGACATATTGCCATGAGAAAGTTGGCTGTTAGAGACCTCGCCAAAGTACTAAAGAGCAATGATGTCAGTCTGGAGACTAAGGTGCGCCTGATACAGGCCATGGTATTTGCAGCCACTTGATTTGTGTCAGAGAGCTGGACAATGAATGGGGATGATAAAAGGAGAATTGATACCTTTGAACTGTGGTGTTGGAGAAGAGTATTGAATGTACCATGGACTGTGTAGAGAATGAACAGGTTCGTCCTAGAGAGGGTGAAACCAGGCTGCTCTTGGAGGCAAGAATTCTGAAGCTTTCTCTGACATACTTGGCACATATTGCAAGGAGGGACGAGTCCTTGGAGAGGGACATCATACTTAGGAGGGTGGAGGGACAGCGCAGGAGAGGAAGACCCTCTATGAGATGGATTGATTCAATGATTGGTAATGGATGTGGCTGTGTCAGAGACTGAGATTGGCACAGGTTAGAGCAGAATTTAGGGCTGTTGTACATAGGGTTCCTTTGAGTTGCAGGAGACTTAACGACACATAACAACAAAACACCTATGTCGTTGTAAATAATTTTTTATAGTATTTATTCCTGGTCATTTTAATAGGCATTTTAAAAAACAATTGGAATTATATTGCATGAATTTCTTACTCTGCACAATTCCCATCACAGTTACCTTCAATAAATTCTGTTTGATGTCTCTTTAATTTTCAAACATGAAACTGGGCTAAAATTAGGCTCAGTAAACTAAATCCCATAAGGATCAATACTGTATATGACCATTATTGTAGAACATGTTTTAGAATCCAAGTAAGTGAAAGGATAGGAGCAGAGGAGTGAGGATGGGTGGGTGGCTTGAGGGATGAGGGGTAATCTGGTGTGAAAAGCAGTATATGCAAACTTTGTAAGTAAACCAATTTAAATAAAAATTTTATTTAAAAAATAATAGGCACGGATCAATAGTAATTCTGTATATGCAATGTATATGAATGAGTGTATGAAACAATACAAATGAAGGGTTGTATAAATCACAATGTAATAAATGAAACACAGTGTATATGAATTATTGTGTGCAAACCAATGAAAAGAGAGGGGGAAACTGGGCTAAAATTTAATAAACATTCACCTCTGGTTGACTACTTTTTAAAAATATTGCAGTTAGGGGAGCTCTGGTGGCCTAATGGTAAGAAGCTGCACTGCAATCCCAGAGACGCACGGTTCAAATCCACCAGAAGGAGGGACAATCTCCTCCTGTACCATTCAGATCCATTTTGACGGTACACACACACACACACACACACAATAATAAAAATAAATTTAAAAAATATTGCAGTTATAAATTCTGATCTTTATTAGACTGTCTATGCCATTGTTTATGCTATAAAATGGGAGTTTTGCTTTAAAAAAAACATTTTCATTCCCTCAGGAATGATACCAAAACTGTCAATGTTATTTATTATGCTACATATTTTATACCATTGTTTATGATATAAAATGGAGAGTTGCCTTAAGAAAACAGTCATTTTCTTCCTCCAGGAATGATGCCAAAACTGTCAATGTTATCACTACTGCATGTTTCTCCAAGGTCACCAAGGTGAGTTCCTGTCTTCATAACAATGTTCTGTGGATAGAAAGTAAAGGAGAGGGATGTGTGATGAAGTAATATATGGACAAGTGACTAAAAAAACTCCTTGCTGCCAAACCAGAACCAACTTGTGACTGACCCTCCAGCAGGTTTTCAGGAGGCTGGGAATTGCACAGAAAAATATTGCCTGTCTTTTGTGGAGCCACTGATGGATTCAAAGTGCCATAAAGTGCCTTTCCATTAGTGCATTTCCCTGGGCACTACATTACCAGAGCTCCTTTCCTGTAGGACATGCGATTTATGCTTTAAGCAAAAAATCATACCAAATTCATTACTACAAAGCTCATTCTGACTCACAGTGATCCTATCTATAAGATAGAGTTTCCAAGGCTATAAGTCTTTTAAGACAGCAGACTGCCTCTTCTTTCTCCCACAGATAAGCTGGCAGGTAGGATTGGCAGTCTTTTGGTTAGCATTCCAAGTACATTAACTACTGAGCTACTAGTTTGTGCTTCAGCAACTCAGTTCATTGTTATTGACTTGGAACCAACTCTTAGCTGACCCTCCAGAAGATTTTTAGGAGCTGTAAATCATACAAGAGGAGATTGTCCATCTTTCTTATAAGGAGCAGCTGGTGAATTTAGACTACCAAAAAGGTGCTACCGTTGTGTTTGTAGCAAAGTGCCCTACAGATAGATTCGGTTTTGTTTGATATTTCTTTACTTGTTTAAGCTATCCCTCATTTCATTTAACTTTAGAAGAGTCAAACAGATTATTCGTAGAGTTTGTAAAAGGCTGGTTTTAAAATGCCAACACCTTAGTGCAAAGGATACAGTTTGTGTCCTTAACAGGGAACAACCAAAACATTCAGATTTTATCCTTTCCTAGTAATTTATGTCTTACTAGGAATGTAAACTCATGCACAGCTGATAAAAATTGAAGGACAAAGTTTTCTTTCCTTTAGAAGAGCTATAATAGCATTTTTCTTGTCCAAGTTGTAGAAATTCTTGATGGTCTACTTTGAAGGATAAATAACGTAAGCAAAATTTGGATATATCTGTCTACTTAAGTTTTTAAAAAGTATATATTTATGGGACGAATAATGTTATAAAAGCGTTTTCTTTTCATTAGGAAGCTCTGGTGGTCTAGTAGGTTGCTCAACCTACTAGTTGCTTTGTCAGCCAAAAGGCAGGTAGTGCAAATACAGTAGCTGCTCTGTGGCAGGAAGGTGGACAATCTTCTGTGCAGTTTATCGTCTCTGAAAACCCACGAGAGGGTCACCCATGAGTCAGTGCCAACTCAATGGCAATGAAAAGGATTTCATTAAGAACAATGAACTGGTTTTTTTCTTCTAAGTTCTTATTTATACTCATGTACAATGTGTACACAAAAATAATTTATTATTGTAAGCTGGGTCAAATTAATTGACTTTTTCTTGACTGTTATTTAGATATTAGTTGCTGCTTTGACATTCTTCCTAGGGAAGGATGAAGAGGAGAAAAAGGATAGTGACTCAGAATCTGAGGTGAGTTTTTAACTATAATTCTTTTTAACTTTTCAGTGGGTTGGATGCTATTACAAATTAAAAAATCCACATAAGTTAGAAAGTAACTTATCTGCCATAGTATTCCTTTGTTGAGTTCTGCATGTTATATAATTTCCTTCCATTTGAATTTGTAAGTTGTATTCAGTAAGGTTAGTTCAATAAGTAATAAAGCATAGATCCACTCAGTCTTGTCTTGTCCTTGGTTCTAATATTGTTCTTATATTTTACTATATAAATTTAGAATAATAATTGCCAACATATTTTTGAGATAGAGGGTTGATGTCCTAGAAGCTAAGGGTAGGGTAAAGAAGGGGAATAATAAATACTATGCCAATTTTAAAAGAAAACAATTTGATTTTTTTCCCTTAAAATTTAAAAGAGAAAAAATTAAGATTAAAGATATCATGATGATAATTTCTTAGAGATATTAAAATCAGAAACTTGGAGGAAAAAATTTCATACTCACTTTAGCATTTTGATAGCAAGAATACTGGAATATGTGCTAAAAATTTTTAATTAGTTTTATTATTTTATTACTGCTTTATTAAATAATATATGAAGAATATGTTCTCATTGTGAAGTACCTCAGATAACAGATAAAATTATATTTTTCTTGATATATTTACATATATGTGAATATTGCATTTTAATTTTAATATGTATTATTATGCAGTTTGAATTTTTATACTTTATATAGAGACCTAAAGATTGATTTTGATATAGTAGTTACATGTCTTGTAATGTTAATCCCTGGTAAATCTGCTTCATTTGTTAATACTTTAGAATTTAAATGTCTATAAATATTTCATGTTGATACATAATTTCTTCAGTTATCTTTTTCCATTAGGTGCAAGACTGACTTGTCTGGATACTATAGTGGAGTAAAAAGTCGAATATAAAGATAAATAGAGGCCAGTGACTAAAAACACTGCCTTTTGCTTCTATGCATATTTTCCTTGTTTTTGATTTTACGAAGTGCTTTCTTCTTCAGGATGAAGGACCAACAGCAAGAGACCTTTTAGTGCAGTATGCCACAGGGAAGAAAAGCTCCAAAAATAAGAAAAAATTGGAAAAGGCTATGAAAGTACTCAAGGTGAGACTCAACTCCTGTTTTTGAAAACTTAAAAATGCGTGATTTTTTTTCCTTTTTTTAAAATTAATTTTAATGAAAGATTACAGAGGCTTTGGATTTTTATTCATTCACTGTTGCACTTTTCTCCCTACCCACCCCTCCCCCTCAATTTGCTCTTCTCTTTGAAAAGTAAAAGAAAAATTCTTTCATTGTTATACAGTCCCTCCCCCTAAGTCCACTCCACTATGCAGGCTTTGTTCTGGACTCCTGTAATAATATGTAATTATACATCCCTTTGAAAAAGTTCTCTCCCTAATCTGTTTCAATGCAGTATACATTATTTATCCCCTCATTCTCAGTCTCCCCTCAACCTGGATGGGCCGATGAATAAAGAACACATTTATTTAACATTTATTTAACTTTGGCAAAATCTGTGGCTTGGAGAAATAAATTTTATTAGATTTACATTTTCCTTTTTCTGATCAAGATGCTTACGTTAGTACATCTTTGCCAGATGTGTCATCTCCGAAGATTTAAAAAATGTAGTGTTTGCTATTTTCTAATAATAATTCTACAAATAATTAGTTTAGTCCCTGTGTGCCATTTTTAAAAAGTGCTTGTATTTATATTCCTTTAAGTCTCATACATGTTAATGGTTTTGAGACTTAAATTTAGAAGACAGAAATCACCATTTCTTCCAATTAAAGGAAAAGTTTTTGGGAAAAATATCTATTTTCCTTTTTATTATGTGTGGTAAGCTTGAGAACAGCCTTTAGCACACACTTGGTAGTCTCTTGGAGAATTTTCACTGTAATTTAAAATATAAATGTTTTTTCTCTTCCTCTCAGAAACAAAAAAAGAAGAAAAAACCAGAAGTGTTTAATTTTTCAGCTATTCATTTGATTCATGATCCCCAAGGTACTATGATTACTTCTTTATAAATTCCTTTTATATTTGTCTGCCGATTTTGTTTCCTGCCTTCATTGTTGCCAAAGAATTTGCCCCTGCCTCATAAACAGTGAAGGCTTAGTTCTTAATACTTGGTTGCAGCTTAGGATTGGGTTTTAAAAAACAGTGTTTTCCTAGTCTACAGCAAAATAAGAAAAATATAGAAGCTCAGGCCTGTCTGAGATTTGCACTTTTAATAATACAGTAATGTTGTTTACTAAAGCAAATAGAAAGTTGGCAATTTTTTGTTGCTCCTTTTTTTTTTTAACTGGTCTGTGAAACTAAAAAGCTGGGAAACCCTGTTCTATAACCCTCAGCTGCACATGACAGTCATCTGAGAGGTTTATAAAACAATACTGCCCAACTGCTTGCTCTGGTGGCCTAGTGGTAAAGGCAGGTGGTTCAAATCCACCAGCTCCTCTAAGAGAGAGTCTCCTTCTGTGCAATTTACAGCCTCTGGAGACCTGCTGGAGTTGGTGCCGACTTATCAGCATGTAACCACTGCTGGTTTGAGTCCTGTCAGCCCCAGGGATTCTCATTAGTTGGTATGGGGTGTGGCTAGTTATTAGGGTTAAAATGTTTCTCCGTGTTCTAGAGTTTGCTGGCCAATATTCTTGATCATTGTTTCCAAAATTTTAATCACTATTGGGTTTTTTTTGTTAAAGTCTAAATTCTAATTCCAAATGTATGAAATGAGAGCTGAGGTTTTATAATTTTTATTTTTTAATAAGCTCCTGAGGACTTAGAAAACTGAAAGGGAGGAACAATCACTCTGGATACTAATGTTGAAATTCTTAAGACTTGCCTTTGGGCACCATTGAAGGTAGATCTCTCCCTGTTAATCTTTTAATCTCTCTCATACAGTGTGTTGTCAGTACAGTGATTTCAGGCATAGCCACACCAGAGTTAACTACCTGATTGCATCTTTCCCTACACTTGTTAGATAAGTTTGTAGAGATCATGGACCCACACACAATGCACTGTTCTCTTCCTTTCTAGATTTTGCAGAAAAACTGCTAAAACAATTAGAGAGCTCTAAGGAGAGATTTGAAGTGAAGATGATGCTCATGAACCTTATTTCCAGATTGGTGGGAATTCATGAGGTTTGTATTTTGTTCTCTTGATGGATATTAGAATTATTCTTGGTAAAACGAAAACTGTTAAGTAGACCAGGGGCTTAATTTTATCCCTCGGTTTTCTAAATCCATATTGTTTACAGAACAATAGAATCTTTCCTTCAGAGCATAATCTTTTTGTCACTTTATTTTCTTTCCAATGACTGTATATTCAGATATAAACAGACTGTCCTGTATTCTGTCTACTGAGTTTTTATTTACCTTTGTTTCATACGTACATTTACCTAAATGAGCATAACTCACATGTTTTTATTGACTTACTACATTTCCTATGGAGTCCTGCTGATGGGGCTGGACTAGTGGAGCATAGTAAGACCAAGACTATCAGTGAGCTTTTTCATCATCTTTTTTAATTATACTAATTTTCCAGACCAGATTCTTCCAATTTCCCTCACGTTTTAATTACTATTTTGTCTCTTGGTCTTCAGCCTTAACATCAGTGGTGTTCAATTCTCTAATTCCCTGTCTTTATCATGAAAAAATTCTATAGCTATACTAATCTTAGAAATAGAAGATATTTTTCATTTTTATTATCTCTCATTCCCCTTTTTATATATCTATATCATGAGTACAGCAGTGTGGCCTTATTTGAGAGAAACTTCCTTTCTTTGGTTAATAAAACATACTGCATCATCCTAGGGCATGATTGCTTATTGAGAAAACACAAAATAATTACCAGTTAGTTAAGTTGAGAGATAGAATTACTGTAGAGGAATTAAATGTCCCAGTTTTTAGTTACGTAAATGTTAAAAACCATTGTACTATTCTCTCCACAGCTTTTCCTCTTTAACTTCTATCCCTTTGTACAAAGGTTTCTGCAGCCTCACCAAAGAGGTAAGTGACCCTTTGCCACATTCCTGTGGCGATCTTGGTGTTAGAGTCTCTTCAGGATCTCTTGTTCTAGAATCACTAAAGATAAAGAGTGGCCTGTTGTGTATTAGAGAAAGGACCAGAAAATTTTATGTTCACTTTCTAGAGTCTGCTGTAGCTTAGTTGTTTGGATTTTTTAAGGAAAAATAAAGCTTGGTCATTCACTGTAACTTTGTAAAGATACTACTGTTTTATCTTATTGCTCCCTCTTATTCTCAATTAAAAACAACATATAAGCAGAATAAGAGATGTGTTTGGTTTCAACTTTGAATTTGAACCTAATTGGAAGAAAATGAATATTTATTATCTACATAAACCAAACACTGTGCTAAGGGCTTTATGAACTTCTCCTCAAGTCTTCACATTGATATGTATGCACATACATTTGTATGCATTCAAAGTATAAATATGTCGTGCTTTCTGTATTGATTAATGCTTGAGGCACTAGGAATTCCATAGTCGACATAAAGCAAAGACGTTGCCCTCACAGAGCTTATATCTAGAGGAGAAATACAAATAGTATTTTAGGTATATGTATCTGGTCTGAAGAAATGTTTTCCAGAAAAAGAAGGTAGGGTACAGGGTAAGGGAGTAAAATAGGGAGTGTAGTAAGTTTGGGGCAAATTTTGTTTTTGATTGTATAATGAATGTGATAGGACAACACCTGAGCAGAGACCTGAAGGAAGTGAAGGGGTCCTCAGCTCTGCAGACCTCTGAGGGTTAAGTGTTGCAGGTGGAGTAAGTAACAGTATTAAGGCAGAAATGTGCTTGTCATGTTTGTGACAGGCAAAGAACTGACTGGCTCCTCATATCTTTTTCAGAAGTAACAAAGATCCTTCTGTTTGCTGCACAAGCATCTCATCACTTGGTACCTCCAGAGGTGAGCGTCCTTAAATCTTCTTTCTATATCTAGTACTTGAAGGAGAAACTTATTAGGTACATTCAAGTGACTTTTCACAAAAATTACTCCCTCTGCACTTCCCTTTTTCCCCCCAAGTTAATAAAAGGGAAACTGATTTCTAAGGAAATAGTATAGAAGTGTATTGTATAGTATACTTCATAGAAAGGAAGATTTCTTTTTAATAGCTTGTTGAAAGTTCTCATCTTTTTCAGTTAACAAATTTTATGATGAAAGGAAGTCAAGAATAGTGAATTTATAATAGTTTCTCAAAACTAGAAATTTCTATCTTTGATTTATTTAACACTACATTATCCAGAGGTCAGAACTTTTTCTTTTCTCATTCCAATTGAAAAATAATACTAAAAGGTAGTGAAATTTAGTCTGGGATAGCCAAAAATAAGACTCAGACCCTACGTGGAATATTTTTTTTTATCTGCCTTCCTCAATTGTGGTTTCTTCCATCTATCAAACCTAAGATGGAGCTGTTTGTCTTCTATGAATAATATATTGTCAAATGTTTCGTGAAATAATGTATACTCATTATTTGAATAGGTACAGATGTTACACCAGCTTTCTTTTCTTTTCTCTCCAATTCAGATCATTCAGTCATTGCTCATGACTGTGGCCAACAATTTTGTTACTGATAAGAACTCTGGTGAAGTTATGACAGTAGGGTATGTAAATGCCATTTTAACTGGTAGATGTGCAGTTGTTTGTTTGAGTTTCTAATCTACTGGATTTGCTTTAAATAGAACTCACTAGGGTGTAATGTTTTCACCTAGCAATGTGGCTGCTACAAAAGCTGCAGTTAAAATACAGTGCTATCTGCTCAGAAGGCTTCTTGGCATCTGTTTTATTGGCCAGAATTTTGAAGAGGGAGCAGAAAAAGATGACACTTGTCATTCTAATCTGTCTTTTTGTCTTTTACTAGCTTTACTCTTTCAGATGAATGATTGTTTGACAATCTAGGATTTTTTCCCTTGTCTGATATCCTGAATTCTTACCTTTTGTTAGAATAATTGATTTGTTGTTGATGCACTTTTAATATCAAGGCTGTTCAACAGCCCCCTTTTTCTCAATTCAAAAACACTTAGTGAGGGTTGTTGTTGTTAAGTGCCATCGAGTTGCAGGTGACTCATAGCGACCCTATGAAGGAGAGTCCTCAACGCTTGGGTGCCTTTCATCCTCTCTCCTGGTTCATAGGGTTTCTGGAGGCAAACTATTATGGAAGTGGATGCCACTCCTTCCAAGTTTGTTTTAATCAGGGGGCTCCACTCCACTCTTTGTCTGCATTGGATAACCAGCCATTAACACATTTGACACATCAGTGTCACAGTGTTCAGCCTCACAGCAACCACAATTGACCGTGGTACGTGGTACGGCAGCTTGTACAGGGCTATATGACCTAGAGGAATGTCTGAACAAAAACAGTGAAAGACAGGCCTGAGGGCCACGGATTAAAAGTCACCCACCTTTGGCTTAGCACTAGTTTATAAATTGTCTAATTTTCCATGTGACTAAGTAATAAGTAATAAACAATTGCTCTTTTTTTTCTCCCTTAGAAAATATGTTGACATAACAGCCCTAAAGATCTTTATTTCTTTTTTACTTGGTTCCTTCCCTCTTAGTTTGGTATCTGGAATAGTGAACTGTTGAGAATAAGTGCTCTTTTTTAAGATTCTTGCCTCTACTTCACTTGTTCTACCATGATGCAATTTTAGATAAATAAGCCATGCTAAACCCACTTCATATTCCTTTTACTTCCATCTTTAAATTTTATTTTATTAATTTTAATGAACATTTACAGAGATTTTGGATTTCCATTCATTCATTGTTGCACTTTTCTTCCTGCCCAGCCCTCCCCCGCAGTTCACTCCTCTCTTTGAACAGCAAAAGAAAAATTCCTTCTTTGGTATACAATCTCTTCCCCCCCTCCCCCCGCCCACTGCCCTGAGTACACTCTACTGTGCACCCTTAATTCTGGACTCTTGTGATATCAATAATACCCTCTCATATTTCACATTTACATTATTCTCTTCCTCATCTGTTTCAATGCAGTATACTTAATTCATCTAGTTTTTCTCAGTCTTCCCCCAATCGTGATGTCAGTCCCGTTCTACAGCAGTGGCTCCATGTAGTATTTGTCCTTTGTGATTGAGATATTTCACTTGGCATAATGTCCTCCAGGGTCACCCATTTTGAATAATATTGCATGAGTTTCTTGTTTTTCAATGCAGCATAGTCTTTCATTGTGTGAATATACCACAGCTTCTCTATCCATTTGTGTGTTGATGGGCACCTTGGTTGTTTTCAACTCCTCGCTATTGTGAACAAAACTGCAATAAACATGGGTGTGCATATATCTGCTTAGGTGGCATTTATGGTCTCTTTGGGGTATATTCCCAGTAGTGGAATTGCTGGGTCAAATGATATTTCTATTTACAACTGTTTGAGAAAACACCATACCACCTTCTACAATGGTTGCACTGTTTTACACTTCCACCAACAGTGAATAAGGGTTCCAGTTTCTTCACAACCTCTCCAGCATTTGTTGCTTGCTGTTCTGTTAAATTTTGCTATTCTAACTGGGGTGAGATGATATCTCAGTTGTTTTGATTTGCATCTGTCTTAGAGCTAGGGATTTTGAACATTACTTTATGTGCTTGTTGGCCATCTGAATGTCGTCTTTGGTGAAGTGTCTGCTTCCATCTTTTTAAGGAAAATTTAGGTTGAACCACATGACATTACTGGATTTTTTTTAAAAATCCATTTTTCTTGCTCAGGATCAATGCTATAAAAGAGATAACAGCTCGATGTCCTCTCGCCATGACCGAAGAACTTCTCCAAGACCTCGCTCACTATAAAACACACAAAGATAAGAGTAAGTTGCTTGCTATTCTCTGTAGACTGAAGAGTTCAGAATAGCCCATTTTTGTCTCAACTTACTTTTTGCTGTGGAGTTTCTAATTTGTGCTGTTGTTTTACAGATGTAATGATGTCTGCTAGAACTTTGATTCAGCTATTCCGAACACTGAACCCTCAGATGTTGCAGAAGAAGTTCCGGGTAAGAGAAGCGGGTCTATGTTGAATTAGAGGTTATGGCTTCAGGTGGTGAGAGTAATTTTCTATGATTTAAATTTTAGTATTTGTCATATTTCCATTATGAATGCCGAAGACACACACAGTTTTGTTCTTAAGGTCAGAATGCAGCAGACTGATACATTACCACTTCTTTTGATGGTGAACATTACCACTTCTTTTGATGGTGACTGAGAGCCTATTGAAAGCTTTTATTGTTGTCAACGGGTTGTAGCCAGTCAGTAGCTGATGGCAGTGTTGAACAACTCTAGTTAGGAGGAAGGAATAATGTTATGTGTGTGTATGAAGTAGTTGTTGTTTTCATATGTCTTTGAGTTTGAACCAACTCATAGCTGACCTTCCAGTGGCAGTAAATCACACAAGAGGAGACGGCCCGTCTTTCTTGCTTGAGACAGCTGGTAGATTTGAACTGCCTGCCTTTGGTTGACAGTGTAGCTCCCTGCCCACTAGATCACTCAAGTTCCCTCTGTAAAAGTTGTTGTTCTTGATTGCCTTGAAGTTGATCACGACTCATAGTGACTCCATGAACAAAAGACCGGAAGCCCCTCTACAACTGTCGATATTTATCAAAGTTCATAGTTTCCGGATGTGTGTTGTTTTGGAAGTGGATGACACTCCTTCTTCCAGTAGAGAGATGATGATATTGAGGCTTAAAAATTGGAGGCTTAGGTGGGCTCCAGGCCCAGCAGCTGGTACGACAGAGCCTCCACACTGCCGCAAAATAAACTTATTCTAAAGTAAGTTCTCAGAACCGAGGTTGGAGCAGCAAGAGATGCAATGTGAGGAGCAGGAGGCCCAGCAAGCTACATTGAAACAGACACAACTTATCTATACCTAAACAGCCAAGCAGTTGGCTGCTGGTCATCAACATGGACTGAAGCTCAACAACATCAGAGGACAAAGATTCTCGAAAGAACATGGGTTTGCTCCCTTTCCTATAGGTAACCTTAACACTGAGTTTTGCTCCAGACCTGAACCCTGAACACAGTTCAAGAGACAAAAGGGAAATATAACTGCCAGCTAAGGAAGCGAAGGAAGATGAAGCCTCAGGGTTCAGCCAGCCAACCGCCCTAGACCCACCTTGGCAAACACTTTGTAGTCCAGTAAATGTCAGGAAAATATCTTCTACTGAACAAGAAGGCATGCAGCTTTAACCCAAGAACACAAGTAATGGGTTAAAGTGGGCTCCCCATCCCCCTTCATATCAGTGCCCCTGTTCAACATGAAGAAGCCAGAGAGTATGCTCCCCATTCCCAAACAAGAAACCCACAAATGAAAGAGACAACTTCTTTGTTTTAAAAAAAATATGATCACCATTGGACTATGTTTACCGTAACCCTGTCTCTTCTGGTCCCCACTGGATCTTTCTCATTTACTTCAGTTTGCTTGGCTCCATAGTCAACAGTCTTGGCACCAGTAGCCAGGAAATTAAAAGGCGCATTGCCATGGGAAAGTCTGCTGTTAGGGACCTCTCCA